TATTCCAGTTCTTTTTAGAGAACCGGCTCTTTTTCTCGGTTCACTAAAAGCAGCTGGCTCTTTTGGGTCCTAAGCGGCTCTTCAGATTGTTTTGTTGCAACCAGGACTAAAACAGAACTGAACCAGGACAGAAAAAATACTAAACCAGGACTAAAACGGATCTAAACCATGTGTAAAACAGGACTAAACCAGAACTGAGAGTGTCGGAACTCAGTCTCTATCTCTCTCCCTCTCTCGAGCCCAAGATTAGTCCTGGTTTATTTATTTTATGCTGAACTACAGGCAAATATGCACGTTTTTTTCTATCCTATGCACATGCAGATTTCTGAAAGTTTCGTTTTCAGCCGCTGCCGCTGTCAAACTACGAAGAGTCTGCACGCGGCATGAAGAGAAAAAAAGTGAGAGAAAGCGAAAACACGGCTCCCAATCCCAATAAGGATCAGGCTCCCGTCGTTCGCTTCAAAGAGCCGGCTCTAAGAGCCGTTTCGTTCGCGACCATACCCACCCATCAGCTCACTAGCTAGCTAGTAAAAAAAAATATAGCCATTATTATCAGCCAATATAAGTCAGTAAAAATATAGCAAACAAAAATCATTCACATATATTCCAACACTCACTGCTCACACAGGCTCCTCCTCACATCACAAATCTGCACTAATAAATGTCCTTTTAATCCAGACTCAAACCGATTGTCCATAAAAAGAATATAATCTCAGTGTTTGGATCCATGTCTGCGAGTGTAAACAAACACACGTGAGTGACGCGACTCTGGGGGTGTGTTCAGGGACAGTACGGACACACACACTGACAAATGACTCCGCGGATAAATACTGATGCGGAGACACATATTAGGACATTTATCTGACTGTAAATTGGAATAAATGAACATAATATAGAGAGTCTAAGATTTATAACGAAGTATAACATGACCATTGGAAATATCGGCCCATATCAGCAAACATATCAGCCGATAGCCGATATGCCTCCAGTTGTCCATATCAGCCGATAATATCGGCCAACCGATATATCGGTCGGGCTCTAGTATATAGTGTGTAAGGCTGGGTATTATTAAGAAGTTGCAGATACGATACATATCTCGATAGAGTGAGCTTTCAATTTGATATGATATATTTCAAATGTATTTGATACGATTCAATAAATAATAATGGCTAAATCATGGCTGTGATACTAAAAGTCTTTGTTAAACTGCTTCTTGTGCAAAATTCATATGAAACACAAACATTTTAATCATCAAAACAGTGAAAATGTCAAATGTGTCGCATAAACAAGTTTCCTTCCTCTAAACAAACTACAAAGCTGTAGCACTATAACAAAATAATTTAGTAAAATAAACCAAAAAATACTCTTGCCGATATATCGATACAGTATCAGCACATTAAATGATATGATAAATTGATATTTCGATATTTTTAGTGTGGGAGTGCGTTAGTGTGTCACCATGGTAACCGATAAACATTCTAACGTTGAAAAACCATGCAGAAAACCCCCAACGTGACGTCAAAGCACACTATCAGCACACGTATTTTTGATATATAAGCATTTTTTTGTTGTTGTGGTTTTGTTTTTGTTGTTCTCTATAGATATTCTCTTTGTAAATTTCCTTCCTTTTTCTGCCCTCTCACTCTTCACTCTTTCTCACTCCCTCTGTGTCTCTTGTCCTTGGTTTGGTTGCCGTGTTGATCTTGTGCCAGGCCCCGTCCACTCACACAGCCTGTAAAAGGAAACCTGCTCTATTCTTCTCTTGTTCAGGCCTCTCTTCCACTGCCAAGTTCCTGTCTACCCAGTGCACCTAATATGGCTGAACATTACAGTTTATGACTATTCCTTCCACCGCCGCTGTGTTCCCTCGAAATGCAAGTCACGGGGCAGGGCCTTTATGAGACTTCACGGAAATGTTTTGTGGTTTCTCTGGTGCTGGTGAGAAAGATACTGACCTAAAATGGTGAGCTTTAGTGGCATACCATGGGGAGCACACAGTTTACACATGTATGCTGTGTGGACATGTTTAGATAAAGACAGGACATTCCAGCAGCATTCCTGATATACTTCATTTCCACACATGGATTTAAAGTGGGACTAAACTCCTATACTCCGTCCACAATCATATTTCAAACTGCTGAACTTTGCAGAACCTTGAGGAGTAAAGAAGAGAGTGATAGAGAAGGAGGGCGAGGTCTGGAGGTGCAAAGAGCAGTGTGATTGGTCTAATACAGGCATGTCCAAACTGTGGCCTGTGGTCCAAATGTGGCCCTCAGACAAATTTTTCTTGGCCCTCAGGCTTCCGGGTGAATTGGCCCAAATGACCTTGCATCCATTAAAAATTAACTTTTTGAAAATCTACCTTGATAAAGCTAATATTTTATAGCCAGCGTGTGGTTTTATGGATCTTAGCATGAATTAAAGGTCATTCTAAAGTATTAAACATGCACATAGTTCAATGATTCACTGTATTCAGCACCAGTCTACGGCCCCTCGATCGGCCCTCTGCTTCGTCTGTGTTTAGATATGTGGCCCTTGATGAAAAAAGTTTGGACACCCCTGGTCTAATAGGTGTCCACACTTCAAGCGCTCCATCCCTGCAGCCAAGTGCTTGTGATCAGAAACACCTGTCTGTAATCGGGATAGTTTTTAGTGATGTCACATAGTACTTGAAACTGCAGAGGCCACAGAAGGAAGCACAAACTTAGAATTAGGTGTTTTTGACTAGAAAGCTGCAAATTTGCACTAAATATACTAGAAACAGTAGATAATGCTACACCATACACACAATAGTTGCCGATATATTTAGTGATGTAAAAATTCACTGTAAATCTTGAATTGTTTAAAAAAAAACTTAGGTTTGGGTTTATTTAGGCAACATTTATTGTGATTCTGCCTCTTCATGTCATGTTTACAGACAGTAGGTCGGCCTCTGGCATTTTTGCATGACATTCTAGCTAGTAAAGAAAGAAACTACCGCTATTTTATTACTATTGCTATTACTATATGTGTAAATGTCGATCATGCACACCTCTATTCAGAGCTCATTTACATATCAATGCTGGTCCAGTAACATATATATGGCCAATAGTAGCAAAAAAGTGGATTTAATGTGTTGTTCCACGGTCTTTCTTCTAGTATTTGCAGTCTTTTTATATCACAAGTTTTTTTTTCCTTTGGGTTATTTTGAGTTTATTCAACCGGGTGCACTTCCAATTGCAACTAGACCCGTATAGTAGGGTCTTGCTTATGGACACAACAGCATGCACAGATTTGAACCAGCAATGCAGAACCCACTGAACTTACATTATAAAGGTGCACTGTGTAACTTTCATGGGGATGGTCCACCCCTGTTTATCTCTGTGATGACGCTGCTGCTTTGTCTTGAATATTCCACAGTATCGCATTTAATGTATCAATCTTGTGTTCTTTCAGTTAAAGTTGTTTTTATGTTCAAAAATACCTTGAAAAACATGCATTTTTACTGTGAGTGTTGTTGCCCGTCCATAGATCTGGCCTGTAACTTGGCTTGTCAACATCACAGGCTTGTTCTTATGGAAATAGTCTAATACCATACTGTTGCATATTCCAGGCAAATCAATAACATTTCCATGGAGAAACTCAGTAAACCGACCAGCAGGAAGAAAAGTTACACAGTAGTTCACCTTTAAATAAACACTATTCAGTACTTGCCAAAGAACCGGTTTGTTTTTTTTCTATTGCAACTCTAGTCAATACTTTCCCATTTTGCAGAAGCAGACTGGAGCAGTGGCACCAAACCAGTGAACAATAATTGCACTTAAGCTTTTATTATTAGTACATTAGAGCAATGGGTTCACACAGGAAATTATAATGGAACTGTGGTTTTGTAAACATGGTTTTCATTACAGTTTAGGACAACAGGGAATGAGGAACTGTGTTGTACAAGTCACATGATAGAAAGAAAGAATAAGGTCCTCTATGTTAGTTTGAATCCAAATGAAAGAATCTGTATATATATGTATATTATAGAGATAGACCAATATCTGCACTTTTTAGCGTTTCGCCAACAGAGTCTGATATTTTGTCTAAGCAGCTGTGTAATAAATGTCTGAAGTTTTATTTTAACACCATTACGTAGAGGATGGTGCTACACTGGTTTGTTCAGTTTGTAGTAAAACAGAGCTATGAATGTGTTTGTGAAAAAAAAAAAAAAAAAAAAGACAATTTGGGGAAAATAATCAGATTTAGCCGCAGATATTGGCTCAAAAACATCAGCAAAGCTTATCGGCCATTGGTTGCATTAGACTCTAAACAATCAGTATGGGAAAAAAGATGTTCAACAGAATGTGCAGGACAAAATTTTCAGTCCCGCTCCTGCCCGTGAAGAATTATAATTTCCATTCCCATTTCTGTCCCCATCTGTGATATTTTGTCCCGCTCCTGCTCGCAAATCCCGCAAGATGAGGAGGTTCTCTTTCTTAAGCTCTATTAAACACGGAGAAGTGGAAAGGAATTGTCTAAAATGTGCACGAGATTAGACCACGTTCGCAAATTTAGGCTGTTTAAAGTGTTTTTATTAATGCCAAATAAAATATCCAGCACATATTATGCATGATAATATACAAATGATTGATGTATGTTTGACTTTACACTCATATTTGATTTGTGGGACGGCAGTTTATCCTCCCACCCACAGTAAGCTTTCGAAATGTGTCCCTTGTCGCACTGTTTTGCGTCGGGTCCCGAGGGTCAAGTCTGTGCTCGTGATTCTGCAACTGCATTTTTATTAGTCACCACTGGCAAATAAACCAGAATTTTCCAACGAGTAATAAGGATTTAAATTTCCCGGAGATCAGACAAATGTGAGGAATTTTCCAACGCAGAATTCAAATCCATCTCATGCCAAGTTCTTCCACTTTGCAAAGCTCCTGCTGTGGTGTAACAATAATTGTAAGTGTTTTATGTCAAAGCATTATGAATTACCCTAATCTTTTCTCCCTTGTTTCTCTCTTTGTCAGGGATGAACGCTGCCGTGAGAGCCGTGGTTCGGATGGGTTTATATGTGGGAGCCAAAGTTTATTTTATTCATGAGGTAGGTCCATTATTCTCTAACTACAGCGATGGGTGATGTAAGAACATGTGTCTAAATGAAAGTGTCTGTCAGCCTATTTTTGGGACTATTATGCAACATATTTCTTTCTAGAATGTGTTAAAACCTAACATTTGTTTTCACTATTGTTTGAGAACGCACCATGAAGTTATTCTCTATTTTCCATCTAATCTTTTGTTCATCTTTTAGTTTGGTTACTTACTATTATAAAAAAAATAATAATAATAATAAAATTAAAAAAAATAAATAAAAAAATAAATAAAATAATAATAAATAATAAATAAATAAATAAATAAATAATAAATAAATAAATAAATAAATAAATAAATACATAAATAAATACATAAATAAATAAATAAATAAATAAATAAATAAATACATAAATAAATACATTAAATAAATAAATAAATAAATATTGCCCACCTGTACCACCATAATATACTTTTATATATTATACACTTAAGTCTGGTTTTAATCAAAATAAGTGTGATCATTATATTATCAGATTATGTTAAACCCTGTGTAGCCATGTTATAAAATAAAGTTATTATTATTAAAGAGGGGGTTTAATGCAAAGTCGTAGCTTTTGTAGTTTCCGACCATGTTATAGCATTGTTCTCTCATCAAAAACATGCTTGAAAAGGCTTCATATGTACACTACCGGTCAAAAGTGTTAGAACACCACACTTTTTCCAGTTTTTTTATTGTGTTATTGAACTCTGAAATGAAAACATAGAATAAATAAACGATCTAAGTTGTAAAATTTATAAACCAAAACGTATTCTAAACTTTTGATTCATGAAAGTGTCCACCTTTGGCAGATATAACAGCTGAACACACTCGTGGCATTCCTTTTGCAATAGAAATTCTTCTGAAAGTTCTTCACAAGTATCATAAATGTGTGACACTTGTAGGTTGTTTGGCTTTTACTCTTCTGTCCAGCTCATCTCAAAACCAGCTCGATGGGGTTTAAGTCTGGAGACTGTGCTGGACACTCCATGTTTTCAAGCTTTATCATCTTGTTGTTTTTTCTTGAGGTAGTTTTGGCAGAGCTTGGACTTGTGTTTTGTTCTTTTATCTTTTTTTAACCTCTGTTTGTTCAGTTCTTACCTTTGTACATTTTCAAGCTCTTCATTGGACTTGCTCGACTTGAATTGCAATAAATAACTGGAAAAATTAGGGCGTTCTAAAACTTTTGACCGGTAGTGTATGTATGAGTAATCTAGCGATCTCCCCCGCTCTCTATTCAAACCCTCCTTGCGGTTAGCTGTGAGATTCTGTCCATGCTCAGCCCACAAACCTACGTCACCCAGGCTCCCACACGACAATCCTCAATAAACATTCAAAAGCATGACGCAAAACAATACACTACAACTTCACAAACCTGGCTCAAATGCACGTAGATTGTAATGATGTAATGATAGCGCTCTGTCGGGGAGTGACTTAGCCTGGAGAGCAAAGGGAGAAACTTAAAAAAAAAACATGTTAATACGTTGTTTTAGACAAATATAGCATTTACAAAACAATTAAAAATAACATTGTGATCTAAATTTGTAATGTGTTCGCAATAGAAGTTTAATACCCTCTCTTTAAAAGTTATTAAGACCACAACAGTATTAAAACGTCTAAAAATGTACACAATGTTCTTTAAATCTTTGCTTAACTTACATCACCTTTGCGTACAAAAGTTCAGCGTTATAAAACAGATTATTTCAGATTAAACATGTTTACATCTCAGTGTCTTTGAGTTAGTTTTGAGCCGTTTCTGATCTTCTCTCGCGTTTGCATCCGCACATCTGTCTTCTCATTAAAGTATGATTACATAACCCGCTCCATGCGCTCCAGGGACTAAGCCACGCCCCCTTTGGCCAACCGCCCGGGCCCATCACATGCAACACTCGTAGAATGAAAATAATGAGGCAATAAAACAGATATCTGATAAGGGATACGTGTGAACTGTTATAAATAGGCCCGACTAAAGACCTTATCTCCAAACACAGTGTAATCCTACTTCCTATCAACAACAATAGGTCAAGCACTTCCTGTTCCATCCAGATAGGCGCGTATAGGACTACTGTTATTTAACATTTAAAGATACACTGTGGAACTTTTCTGATTATGGTTCACCACTTTCGTTCTTGTGTTCGAGGAGATGTTATTGCTGTAACTAAAATGTTCCATATTTTGTGAGCTGTGACTTGGCCTGGTGGATAAAAGTAAAACGTAATGCTGTACTGTGGAACATTTTCGCCAAAGCATCATGATCCGTGTTTCATTTGTTCATTCGGTTTTCAATATAAAACCGAAAACAAAAAAACAACTATTTTGATTGATATATTTTGATTTTGTGTTTAAATCGTGACTTAAACTGTGATGCTGGACGTTTGCACCGCATACGGACTGAACCTGGACCAAACCAGGACTGAATCAGGACTAAAGCAGGGCTAAACCAGCGCTAAACCATTTTCAGCCCTGATCTGGTCCCAGTCTCAGTCCTGTCTTGGTTCTGGTCTGGTCCTGGTCTGGCCCCGGTCTCAGTCCTGGTCTCAGTCCTGGCCTCAGTCCCGGTCTCAGTCTAGGTCTCAGTCCCGGTCTCAATCATGGTCTGGTCCTGGTCTGGTCCCAGTTTCAGTCCCAGTCTGGTCATGGTCTCAGTCCCGGTCTCAGTCTCGGTCTCAGTCCCGGTCTCAATCATGGTCTGGTCCCGGCCTCAGTCCCGGCCTCAGTCCCGGCCTCAGTCCCGGCCTCAGTCCCGGCCTCAGTCCCGGTCTCAGTCCCGGTCTCAGTCCCGGCCTCAGTCCCGGCCTCAGTCCCGGTATAAGTCCCGGTATAAGTCCCGGTCTTAGTCCGGGTATAAGTCCCGGTCTTAGTCCCAGTCTAAGTCCTGGTCTCAGTCCCGGTCTGATTCCGGTCTGGTTTTCATATTTCATAATTAGTCCTAAAATTATGCTCAATTCTGTAGGTGCCGTAAAGTCATGGAAAATTCTCTTTAGGTCATGAAAAAGACAAAGTTTTGAAATTTTGTCCGTGAAAAAGAGCAGCAGATGTCATAATTGATGTCCTTCCTACTGAAGCTAGTTAGTCAAGTATTCTTAGTATTTTCCATTGTTGTGACATTATTGTAATTAATTCTGCAGTTTTAACATATCGTCCTGCACTTGGGGCTAAAGCCTTTTCTTTTGACCTATAAACCTAAAGAAACCCACCGTCAAAGGAGATAAGGCGATAAGAATGAACTTAACATAATATGCTGATCTGTTTTAACGATGCATCTTCTAAGACTCGTCTCTGTCTCTCCGTGTTGTTGCTGACCCTATAGAAACCGCAGTCAAAGATATGAATGATCTGAAAATAGATCACAGCTTATTATTTACAACGGGACTCATTTCCGTCTGTGCTCCCTGTTGCTCGGCGATTGTTTACAAAGCTGAAGACTTGTGTGTGTGTGTCCTCAGGGTTATCAGGGCATGGTGGACGGAGGGGACAACATAAAAGAGGCCACATGGGAGAGTGTCTCCAGCATGCTGCAAGTCGTGAGTATTTACTGTACTTTACTATTCGTACATGGACCAGACCCAAACATTTGACGTAACTATCAGTGATTTTTGAGAAGTTCCATAGCTTTATATCAGGGGTGTCAAACTCATTTTGGTCTAGGGGCCGTATCCAACCTTCTTTGATCCCAAAGGGGCCGGATCAGAAAACTCATGTCTTATAAACCCCAAAAATAATAATAAGTTTAAATATTTGTGCAGAGAAACGCTAATCTATTACAGAAATCTTTTTTAATTGATGAACTCTTTCTTATTATAATATTATAATATTATGAACAACCTGAAACTTTAAGAAAAATGCAATTTCAACACAATGTTTTAACATGAACTTGTTTGCAAACAGGAATAAGTCATTTTTTCTTGGAAAATCCTGCACTCAGCTCCACTTTTCTCATTTTGGACATTTTGCTGATGACTGTGTCACGGTCAACAGTCAAAACGATCGTCCGCGTTTGGAAAGAGACAAGTCTTCATGTCTGCTTCTCTGGTGGGAGGGGCCACATACAGAGGCGCTGGAGACACTGCTATGCTAAGCACTGCAGAAAATTACCAATATTTTAATTGAAAATATAATTAAAATATTTTAGTAGAAAATCACCCAAGGGCCACATTAAAGGTCTTGGAGGGCCGGATCTGGCCCCCGGGCCTTATGTTTGACACCTGTGCTTTATATTCTCATAAAAGACAAGACTTTTTTACTTTAAACTAGATTTTAAAAATACATAAAATCCAGTGCAATAAAAAAAGTGATGATCTCTGTTTGCAATTGATTAATAATTGTCATTGAAATGAAATGTAATGATGAAATGTTTGAATTTGGATTTATTTATTTGGAGGACAAGCCCCTTGAGATGTCTCGCCATCTCGTTTTTTGAGGGGGTCCTCATAAATACAACAACAAAAGACAGATACAGTTGGGCAGACAGTAGGATACATAAATTCAAAAAAACATCAAAACAACAAAATCAACACAACCACAAACACACACTCACTCACACTTCACAGTTTGACATATAATAAAACAAGTTTGAGGAAAAAAACAAAAACAAAAAAACAATAACAAAACAGAGTTCAAAGATAATCACAACAAGATGAACAACAAAAAATCAACAAAACAATCAAACAATTACATGGGTTCTGCAAATATTGAACCAGAGCATTTTTTAAATGAAGGGACAGAAGTTAATGCACGAATCGATGTTCCAACCAGAAGAAGCTTTATATTTAAATGAGTGTTTTCCTCTTTGTTTTTTGACTCTTGACTTTGAAAGTAACCACCAGTGTTAATTATTGTCTGGAAAAAGAGGACAGATAACACAAGATTACTCTTCTTTCTGCTCCTTTTCATTCATACTAAATCATGATACTAAAAGTCTTTGTCAAACCACTTCTTCTACAAAGTTAATATAAAACACAAACATTTTAATCATCAAAAACAGTCAAAATGTCAAATGTAACAAGCAACAAAACTGTAGCACTGTAACAAAATAATTAAGTAAAATATAACAAAAAAATGCTCTTGGAGGTATATCGATACAGCAGCCCCACGATATCGATGCTGTATCATCACATTAAACAATATGATATATCGATATTTCAATATTTTTTGCACATGCCTGTGTTTAATGTTTTGACACTGTCTTTTTATACTTTATAAATGAAATAAACAAACAAACAAAAAAGATACTAAACACAATAGTTTAAATCATGATCTGATGGGTCTCTCATGGCCTAAACCAAAATATGGATCTCTGTCTAAAGTGCATTTTTGACACATGGTTTGTAAACTTCATAGGCTGATATAAAGAAAAGTCACCAAAATAAAATGGATTTAACCAAATATGAGACTTAAAAGCAAATTAAATGCTTCAAGATCCAATGTTTAAACATGTGCTGTTCATAGAAACTTGTTTAAACGAAGCCCTCGGGACAGTTTTGTAATTTGGAAATATTGACGCACAAATGTCTATAAACTGTACTTTATTTCATTGATTCTGAAGCAGCGCGCCGGGGAACAGTAGCGTGCCTTGAGGTGCTGGTAGGTGTGAAAAGTAAAAATCCAATTTCAGTTAAGTTGATTCACACTTTAATAGGATCATTTACTATTTCAGTGTCATGGGCAACTTCTGCATGAGTTTATAAAGCAAAACTATTGTCTTCCCCAAATATAGAACTAGATACAGGAACAAGGACAATGTTTGTACTATTAATTCTTCTTTTAGTGCAGGGGTCACCAAACTTTTTTCTCTGGGGGCCACATTATCGCTCCTGACTGTGATCGGGGGCCGGGTAGGATTGACCTTGATGACGCAGATTATATTCTTTGAAAACCACCACACTTTCTTTACATATCAGATAAACTGCACGGTCCTTACACTGAAAAAATAATCGGTCGTCCACTGTTCTTTGAAAACTCAACACTCTCTGTCAACTTTTCGTACTTTAACTGCACTACAGAACTCTGTGCATACATCGACTCTCACTGTTTGATCTCGAGCTTGTCAAGTGACGAAAATTCGGCGGCAAATGTAAATACGTCATATAATAATTTTAATATAAATATAAATACTTCAAGCAGTTAGTTTGATGACCCCTGTTTTAGTGGGTGGTGTGTAGCAGAAACTTTTCAGTCAAGTGTACCATGATTCAAAAAAACTGAAAAACACAGCTTTATTTTAAACTGTAGCTCTTTCCATGTACAGCAACATGCAACGTAAAAATGAGTCATAAATGTAATGTAAATAAGTTTAGTAGAAGATAAAATATACAAAATCATCAGGAGAAATACAAACATTTTTCAAATTTTGTCATGATTTAAATGGTGTAATGGTTTAGACATTATTGAGCATTCTTCCATTGGTTTAGCTGCAATTTTTAATGTCATATAATTAGAGATTTAACAATATCCAAATCTTATGGTACGATATTTATTGAGATATTTTGTGGAGGCTAACACAATTGTGAATATGCTACTTCTTCCTCTTAAAATGCCTAAGAACTAAGATTTAAAAGTGCTTAGAACTGTTATTTCTTCATGTAGTTGGCACCAAAATGGAGCAAAGGATCATGGTCTATGTAGTTCCCTCTGTTTTTTAGCTATTGCTGCACCATAACAATGAAATTAAGCAAAGAAACTTGTGATTCGATATATTGCGATGGTTCACGATATTATTGAGAGACTTTTGACGATACAATATCACAATATTTTGGTTATTGTTACACTCCTACAGATAATGTAACCATGATAGTTTTCAGTTCATCTCTGCCTCCCTTTTAACTCTGGTGGTAATGCAGGGATGATCCTGGTGTTTTTATTTTGTCCGTAAATAAATATATTCCTATTCCTTACATGGACCTGACTTCAAATCCTTTAACTGCAGGTCTTGATGAGCTTCATTTGACTGGAGCTGGGTAATGTTACACTATCTTCATCCACTTCTTTATGCAGTCTATGGTTTTAACTAGGGATGTAACAATAACCGAAATATCGTGATATCGTATCGTCAGAGTTCTCACAATAATATCATGGACCATCACAATATATCGAATTACAAGTCTCTTTGCTTAAATTAAGAGTTATGGTGCAGCAATAGCTAAAAAAAGACAGAGGGAACTACATAGACCATGATCCTTTGCTCCATTTCAGTGTAGAAACAGTTCTAAGCTATTTTAAGCCTTAGTTGTTTAGATTAAGTCTTGTCAAGGTGTTTTAAAAGGACAAAGTCGCATATTAACAGTTTTCTTAGCCTCCACGGTGAGATGTATATCGTGAAAATATCGTACAGAGAGATTTGGATATTGTTACACCCCTCGTTTTAGCTGTTGTTTGTAAGGTTGGACAATGTAACCCAAGTATTTTTCTGCTCCTGGCCCAAATTATAACATAATGATTATAACTATGTACCTGACAAAAGCACGCTATGTCGTCTTTAACAAAAAAATATAGCCAAAGCTTCTGTATTTATATCCCTGCTGTGTCTTCTATCTCATATGAACACACATTTCCTTTGAGGTTTCTGCTTCCTTTTCTTATTTGTTTATTATGCAGCACCAGCACTGACCATTCATTTTCTTCAAACAGCTTTCGTGTCTCTCCAGAACTAAATTATGGCCCATTTCTCAGCTCATAATCACGCTTTCAAATGGAGCTGGAAGTGGTTCAGTCTTTTAAGCACGTTAGAAATCCATTTTCTCCGGCCTCATCTGCATGATTCAGTCTCTGGCTCCGCTCCAGCCTGAGAGAGTGTGACAAGTATCTCCTCTAATACTGCAGTAAATTAGGTTTCGGCAATGATCGATCAAGATCCAGATGTGTAAACTGTTAAACTGATGTGTGATAACAAGCGGTGTGGTTTATGAGTAGACCTGCCTTCGCTAAATTGACTATTAAAGGTTTTATATTGCTGTTTTTTCCCAAACCTTTTTTCTGGGGACCCATATTTTAAAAGTCACAAACCTTTTCAACCCAGATCAATAGACATTATTCGTAAATCAAAAAAATAATGGTGGATTTGACCATTATTGAACATTAAAGAGGATATTTTATTGCTGACCGAGTGATCGTGTCTCTCTGAACAATTAGTGTTACTCAAGTTTTAAACAATGAAAAACAGTAATTGAACCAGCAATAAAAGGATCCATAAGTCGCCTATTTGGACTTCAAATGTAGCCCTGTATGTTGCAGACCTACATGTAGATTGTGACAGGGCGAACCCAAAAAAAATCTTTTGCGACGCACCTGAGGGTCTTGACCAAGTCTTTGGGAAACACAAAACTGACTCTTGTGAGCTTTAAAACATGTTAGAACATTGCTACCACGTCAGAAACATACTCAGAGTTGTGTTTTGTTTCATTCACACATGTTTGAGCAATCCTTTATTATTAGTCTGTCTATATCTCCAAAGTTCAAACTGCTCTGTTCCACCTTGTGATGTCATGAAGTGGTGTTTTTCAGATTAACATCTACCGTTTGCCTTTTCGTTCAGTCAAAATCAAGGGAGACAGTTTCAGGGGTGAAATCATCCAAATGATTCCAGTGAAGGTGTATGGAGGTGTGTATTTAAAAACACAGTGGAGCACTCCCAACAACTATTTTCTTTTTGAGAGACAAACTTAGTACATAATGTAATATAGTAAAGCCTTAAGATGCAGGGTTTGTGTGTTAAACATGTGTGAATGAAACAAAACACAACTCAAGACAGGATATTTTCTACTTTGCCGAGGACTTTTTACTTTCTAAATAACAGCAGTCTTTGTGATTTTGTAATCGTGTTAACTCAAATGGCAATTTCAACTCGATTTCAATGTACTGTGCAGCCGTAATTGCAATTGGATTGAATTTAGTCGATATGGGTCACGGTTCTCAAGGCTGGTTAATCAATAGTTAACGTATAATTAATCTGAATGTTTCTTTCTAGCCTTCACACTCATTCATTTTATAGATACTGATCAGTTAAGGCCGTGAACATGCCGCAATAGATGCAGTTTTGGAGACGCCTTATTGGTTTTTCAGATCACAGTTTTGAATTCTGTCAAAACTTGAAAAGCCTGTATTACTTCTTATTATAATGGTAGCAATTTGTGGAAAAAAAAAAAAAATGAATATGATGAATGTTAGATAATAGGAGTGTGCAAAAATATCAAAATATCGATATATCGTATTGTTTAATGTGATGATACAGTATCGATATCATGGGCTGCTTTATCGATATATCACCAACAGTATTTTTTGGTGTATTTTACTAAATTATTTTGTCACAGCTACAGTTTTGTTGTTTATTTAGAGGAAGGAAACTTGGTTATGTGACACATTTGACATTTTCACTGTTTTGATGATTAAATATTTGTGTTTCATATCAACTTTGCACAAGAAGTGGTTTAAAGGTTGTATGGAGGATTTTTTTTAGTTTCAAACTGTCAGTGAAAGATTAAAATACCATTACAGAGACGTAGCAGCTTTGTAATTATGATGACCAAAAAAAAAAAAAAGAACGAAAATCTATCAACTGTGGACGTGTTGAGGCCAGATAAACATCAGCCAATAGAAAACGAGGCTCCCTCATTTTCTATTGGCTGTTGGGTTGTCAATCAAACTCCCTAGTATAACTGACTCATCGGAGCGCGGGGATTACGTGGTTTACGCAGCGGTTCTTAGAGGCTTTTTCGAACTGTCGCTTCCTCGCATTTCGCACAAAGTTTGTCGCGACGGCGGACGAGAATCCACGACCAGTTCGCCGCAAAAGAAAGTCAGTTTTTGAGGTCGCTGAAAGAAGAAGAGATGGGGGAAAAGGAGCAAAGCCAAACTGAGGTGATTCTTGGAGATCTCGTCCAGCGATGGCGTGACCGAAGCAGACGAAGGATCTAAAAACTGACGCATCGGTCGCTGAATTACTTCTAGACAGGAAACTTCAACAGTAATCCTGAATGCACACAAGGACTGTCACTGTATTTCTCTTCCCTTAAAAAAAATCCTCCATACAACCTTTAACAAAGATTTTTAGTATCACAACCATGATTTCGCCTTTATTTTTTATTGAACCCTTTCGAATCGTTACCATATTGATTTGAAATGTATCATATCGAATTGAAAGCTCACTGTATCGAGGTATGTATCGTATCGGCAACTTCTTAATGATACCCAGCTCTACTAGATGTATACACCATGAGGAAAATTGCCAGAGATCCAAATCTAATCCAATTACAGACGCTGCTGAGTTAGAATTATGTTGAAACAGCTCTCTGTAATTATCCCAGACAGTTGTTTGTCCAACATCAGAGTTAGAGACGGTACGTGGGCGATGACTAACAGTTATATCTGAAATATGTCTGTCTGTAGTGGTCCAGGTAGGGCGGACCTTTTTTCGTGGGTCCAGATTACAAACTTCTTCAATAATTTAGGAAGATGTGAGTCTGGCCACCGCTGAATCTCTGAAAAAAGTTCAGATGGGCGTGATTGACAGGTGTATTAGCCAATCAGGGACATGAATGGTCCACCCGTACTCATATCAAAACAAATATGGCTGCTTATGAGAAAAAAAAAACAAAAAAACTGAAATGTATTAATGGGTTCACACCTTTTAATTTACTCAGACCCTGTTATTCTTGCGTCTGACCTATGGATGATATAAATATGCAGATTTTCACTACATTATATCTTGCATATTTGATTTCCTGAAACCATTTCCTTTTCTGTATTCCCAGGGGGGCACTGTTATCGGTAGCGCTCGGTGCAAAGAGTTCCGAACACACGAGGGACGCCTGAAGGCAGCGCACAACCTGGTCCAGCGCGGCATCACAAACCTGTGCGTAATCGGAGGAGACGGGAGCTTGACCGGCGCGAACCTTTTCCGAGAAGAGTGGAGCGGACTTCTGACGGAGCTGGTGGAGCAGGGTACGCCAGGACAAATAAACGTCAATGTGTTTAGAATTCTTCCCAGCCAAAAGAATACAAATAAACCAGGAAGTGGCCTTGAGATGTGGTGGGAATACTGGTTTGCTATCAACTGTTATTTATGATACTTGGCTTCAAATTGTCAACAACATTTCATGATGATGATTTGTCGAGTGTTGGAAAATTATATGCCATGTTTTTCCGATGAAAACTAAAGCTATTATCCGTAAATAGTCTGGCTGATCCGCCTAGGGATGCGCCGACACGATACTGGTGTCGGATATCAGTGCAGATCCATGAAAATTAGCTGGATCGTTAGACACAACAAAATCCAGGCACTCCCAAGAACAAAGTAAAAACCGCATGAGGAAAAGTATAGTTAAAAGGACGTTATTTAGATGGCCAAAGCCAACATGTTTCGCCCAATTAGCGTGTGTTGACTCCATAATTTTGGTTCAGTTAGTGTCCTGGTTGGGCATTTTATTAGATGTAATAAGACTATTTACTGGCTGATGTTGGTCTCATAATGTTTAATTGATTAATATCGGATAAAAGTCAAAGTATCATTCGTATCGTAACAGAAAAAGCTAGATCTGTGCATCCCTAGACCAAGCCCCGGGGTTTCAAAATGTCCGAGGTCAGTGGCGCATGATTCCAGATTAGCCTTTACCCCGGCGAGGTACTTCTGGTGGCTCTGGGCTGATTGAGCATGTGCGGTAGTGCTCTTTTCTCCCGCGGGCACACTCGAATGAGAGCTGGCTTGTGTATCACGTGATCGCTTTGACCAATCGGAGCGAGAGGAGCTAGAGCGGAGCCGGAGCGAACAATTCTAAAGCGTTTTTTTAAGACAATTGAAGGGTTTTGAGCTGAGAAAAAGTGTATGATCTAAAAATAGGTAAAAATCGCCAACAAACTCGACATTTTTGAAGGTTGTAGGTGCCCTGTCAGTGTTTATATTGTGCTCTATGAAAAAAATCCTCTCTCAGCCCAGGGGATTTTTTCCGCTGAAGTCCCAGTGAGTGACCACTACGTCAACTGGAGGAAGCTACAAGCAGCAATACTCTATCCAGTTATTTTAATAGATCCATGCCCTAAACCCGCTCTTGTTGCATTCTCACATATCACCACTACTATCTACGTTACTGCTGTTTGATAGTGTGAAATCGTTGGCTTAAGAGAAGAAAAGCAGAGAGAACGGGTGAGTCTGAACAAAGGCCAGCTGAGGGGAACAGGTTTCAGATCTGCCATCTACTGGTGAAAAAAATAAATGTAAGAAACTATAAGAAGCTTTAATGTCTGGAATTTGAAGTTTACAAGACCAAAGATTGGAAATTAGGTTCCATGCAATTTATGTTACAGAAACACCAGTGGATGCATATCTACTATCACTACTATCTGCACTACACCTCACTGGGGCAGACTGATGGAAGCGAGCCTCACGCACACACTTGTCTTGCCTAAGTACACAAGAACGGTTTTTGCCTCTGGTGCTCCACTGTGGCACCCTGGCCTCTGATCCAAGTACTAACCAGCTCTGACAAGATCAGGCTTTGACAAGGAAGTTCGGCCACACTTACACAAACATCATTATCAGATCAAAATGAGGCTTATCTTGGAACTAAACCTGGACTAGAACAAGACCAAACAAGGATGAGAAGAGGGACCAAAACAAGTCCACATCAAGACTGAGGTCAAGTCAGGACCAAATAAGGAAGTGTGAACTCAACCCCTACATGTACTTGTGATATTAACATCTCTCAAATGCGCAAAAATAACTCCAAAAACCCAATGGAAGTCTAACAGCTGTGGCCTGCATTCCCAAGGCTCACGCACAACAAAAACAACCAGATGACAATATAGTTCTGTCCTTTTCTATAAATAATGTATGTGTGTTATTACATGTCACAAGGAAATTAGAATCTCTTGGTTTGTTTCATTTTCATTTAAATGAGTATTATGTAAAAAGAAAAACAGGAAGAAGAGGGTCAAATTTTTTATAGTGCTTTCACAGTTTACTTCTTGCTCCTCTTGAACTTTGAACTTTTTTACCAAAACATCCTATCACGTCTGCATCTGTTTGAAACGGGACACTTTTCACTGAGAGAAAACAGCAGTTCACCATTAGGTTCGTTTCAGGTGTTATTGAAGAAGAGTCTATTCAGAAATACTCGGCTCTGCACATCGTGGGGATGGTCGGCTCCATCGATAACGACTTCTGTGGCACTGACATGACCATCGGCACCGACTCAGCCCTGCACCGGATCATCGAAGTGGTGGACGCCATTATGACAACAGCACAGAGGTGAGACACACGTTCACAGAAGGAATTTTTGGATTTTTGGGAAAAAGAAAAACCTCTAATGAATAAGCACTTGATGGGGTATGTTTAATATCAATAGCATCTACATTTAATTGGACAAATCTAGTAATAAGGGTGTGAAAACATGGCTTAAAGGTCACAAGAATCCATTTTCCATAATATAAGACCTTTAAAAATATGGGTTTTGCATTGTAATTTGTATTTTCTATCATTTTTGGAGCATATGTTTGAAATATTATCTAATCAAACTAAATTATACATGCAGCTCCTTCACCATCGCCATCTGTAGGCCTCATTTGATGATGGTCCATCTGTAAAAGTTAAATTAGATGTGCATCTGTTTGCAACATGATGCTAATACGTGAATGAAACCAAAACTACTTCAGTGATGTTTTCAAGATGGAGACCAAGTATGTTACTGAGAAGTTTCTTATGTTGCAGCCACCAGAGGACTTTTGTATTGGAGGTCATGGGCAGACACTGTGGGTAAGTACGATTTTAATGGACTTTTTTGCATACTTATAAACCTGAATTTGATCTTAACTCTTTCCCCCATGAAGACGACATTTGACGACCCCCCCTGAACCCTTAATGACGACTTTTGACACCTCCGCCGTATCACTAAAGACGAGATTTGACGACCTTTAGAAATGGCTCGGTTTTTCACATTTAAACAGAGACTGTGATCGGTGGGGGCCACTACAACCCACACTAGACTGACCAATAGGATTCAAGGATATGTTTTCGCCGATTTTTTCCGAAGTTAATCGAAATAGTGACGATGGTAGCTTCCGGAAAAAACACAACACGAAACACAGATCGCGGCGCTGCGGCGCAGGTTTTAGAAATAATGAGGAGCGGACGTATTTTATGGATAAGTTTAGAGAAAGTGACTTTTATAGATTTCAAAGTGATGATGTTGAAGTTGATTATAAAGTGGAAAACAGCGAAAGCGAGGGACTTTCGGGGAGAAGGATGAGAATGCCGCTGATGCGTCTGTGTGGAGTCCTGCGATATCCGAACAAACTATCTGATTGCCCATGGCCCAGTCAGTTTAAAATATTTCAGTCTTTTTTTCCAAGATGCGATGTATAACAGAATCACTACAGAAAAAACGCTTATGTGGAGCTCTGCACACGAGAAAATAACCAAGATGACAAATACTGGACACACACTGACGGGGAAGAGTTTTATTATTATATTATTATATTATAATAAGCTAAATTAGTTGAATAAGCTAAATGAGTTGAATAAATAAAATAAGTTGAATAAGTTAAATGGAAAAAAAATGAATTGGGTGCACACAGGTGTACAACAGGTAAAAACAGGTGGCACACTTGGCTATACTGTATCTGGTGATATGAAATCTGTTTAAATACTTTGACAAAGTATATTTTTTATTTTTTATGAATATAGTACTCAGAACATGCAGATATCAGATGCTGAATGTAGTTTTTTGTTTTCGAGTTTGCACCTGACCAGGTAAACTCTCATTTTCAGTGAGCTGTTATACACCTATAAATGAGTTGAATCACATTTAAACATCCATAAATGAAGAGTTCAGAGTCTGAGGTTTCCAGAGATACCAAATATGTCTGTGTTACAATTAAGTTCATGAGTGTAAAAATCATTTATAATCACTCGTGGAAGTCTGTTTTCTTTTATGCAATTATGCTCTATGGGTAGCCCTAGTAACATATGTATGGGTTGTTCCTAGTCGGCGTCCAGGGGGGAAAGAGTTAAGAAACAAGACAGAGATCCATATTAATTAGAGCTGTGGTCCTTTATAGTCATGTAAGGAGCATTGTGTAAATTTTCTGATGAGGGTCCCTCAAACACTTTTCTCCGTGGAGATGTTTTTGTTTTGTCTATAATGTTTCACAGTATGGCATTAAACCTTTCTGTCTTCATGGAGACCAAACCAGACCAAGTTACAGGTCAGATCTGTGGAGAGGCAACCCCGCTCACAGTCAGAATACCTGTTTTTCTAGGTATTATTGACCTATAAAACCACCTGTAAATTCATAAATGTAAAGCAGAGCAGTTTAATGTAGTAGATGGTGTCTTAGTTGACCAAAATTTGTATTATGTTGACCTGTTTTTTAAAATTATTATTATAAGAATTTTATATGCACAACAGTATAATAGAAAGAGAATGAGTGTTATCTGGATTTTTTTACATTTAAATACATAGTTTCCTACTTTTCTGTGCTGTGGGTAGTATTTTGAGTGTAGTTTTGGTCAGATCATAAATTATTCAGGTATATGAGAGCTTTTTCCACGGCTTCTTTTTAGTCAACTAATCGACCAGCATTTCTTGTCTTGAATTTGTTTAGTCAACCACAGCTCTAATAATAATCTGTCTTGTGTTTTTGAAGGTACTTGGCGCTGGTGAGTGCTCTGGCGTGTGGAGCAGACTGGGTGCTGATTCCAGAGATGCCTCCTGAAGACGGCTGGGAGGACAAGATGTGTCAAAAACTGTCTGCGGTAACAACATCGAGCTTTATAACAACTGGAAATTATTTATATTGTCTGTTTAATATGTATCTAACTCTGATTTTCTCCTCCGACATAGTAAACAATAAGCGTTATGTGATATACTGTATAAACCATAGGCACCAATTCCTTTTACATTTACTGAAAGTTAAAAGTTAATTATTTAGTTTACTCCAGTAACAGTCCTTAAGGTTGTATCAATCATTTAACTCAATAGATATTTTTAAAGAACACATATTATGGAAAATGTACTGTTTTTGAGCTTTCAGTCATGTTATATTGTTGTTCCCTCATCAAAAAGGACATGTGGAGTTGTATTTTTGCTTCATCCACGCTTGGTTTATGAATCTATTAATCCAAAGTTGTATTTACTGATCACTTAAAAATATCCATTTGCATTTTGCCAGGATTGTTACGTTGTAGATAAAACTCTGGACTTCTCCTATGCTAAGGTTCAAATGTATATTTTTAATGTCTAAATGCCAAATTGGAAACAGAAGTAAAGTTTTAAGTATACTTTCCAAATATATACATTATTATAAGTAAAAAGAAATATCCAAAGGTGGTGAAAAGCATGTTTAAAGAGGAATTAAAGCCACAACATTGCATAATATGTGTTCTTTAAATCTAAAATGTTAGTTGTTTCGCCTAGCCCCACCTAGGACTGATTAAACCGCACTGACAGAGAATCATAAATCTCTTTTTATTATAATATATTGCCTGTAATGTATTTATATGTATGATGTAAAAGTCCATATTGTCCTTATATTCAGACGCGCTCCAGGGGCACCAGGCTCAACATTATCATAGTGGCAGAGGGAGCCATTGACAGACATGGGAAACCTATTACCTCTAGTTTGTGAAGGAAGTGAGTACATCTGTGTCAAAGAGAAGGGGAAACCAGGAGCATGGAGGCCTCAGCCGAGGGAATTCAACTCGCAACCCAAGTGCTGTTTTATTTAGGGCTATGTTCACACTGCCAGATGTTAGTTTACGTCGTGAGATTTCTGTTACTATTTTTATCTTTTGGCGCGAGTTCACGGCGCTTTCACATCTTTGAAATCAAATCTTGCAGCTTTCCCATTGTTATTTTGCTCGAAGGTACACTGTGTAACTTTTTGGTCGGGGGGTACGTCACCTGCTTGTTTCCATGGATACGTCATTGCTCTGGCTGGATTGCTCCACAGTATGACATTAAACAGCTCTACCTTACATTTATTCAATTACAAGTGGTTTTATAGCTCAAAAATACCTAGAAAATCAACATTCTGACTGTGAACGGGGTCGCCTCTCCGCAGATCTGACCTGTAACTTGGTCTGGTTTGTTCTAGATAGATAGAAAGGTTTAATACCATACTGCGGAACATAACACCTCCATGGAAATAAGCATTTGACAGAAAGCTACAGCTGTGAACTTTTGACTGGACCAAAATAATAGTAGCCTTCCTGTTTTTGGTACAAGTCCCAGTCACTTTTCAAACAGGAAGTAGAACTTAGGTCAAACCTTCATTCGTTTCATGGCATATTTAGTGAGGCCAGTGAATACTACATCAACTTATCACTCAGTACAGTACATGACAGATGGAACAATACTTTTTGGGTATTTTTTCCTTGCAGTAGTGGGAAAAGTTTGGTTATTTTTCTATACTAAGAAGAGATTTGAGCTGTAGAGGGTTAAATTATTAACTTCTATGACTCATTATAGACACAAACTAACTACGTAAGTGCTGCATTCTGTTATTTATTTATTGCAGTTTGCGTTTTTTAACAATATTCTACATTCATTGACTTCAGTATTATTGTTTATCGTCTATATTTACTTCAGCTATACATCACATTTCAAAATTTGTTATCGTGACAGGCCTATATTTTTGTACATTCTTTTAAATTGCAGTGTTGAATTATACTTAAACACAAAAACACTGCACATAATGGCCAGGTTGTTGATGTTATTGTTAATTTGGTATTTTGGCTCTCAAGATGATCATTCGATTAGAAAGCAGAATGAGCCTCACGTGAGTCTCATGTGGGTTGCCAGATTCACTGCTAAAATCCAGCTGGTTTAAACCTAAAATCGCTCGCTTTAATCTGAATCCTCACAGCGAAAAAATCAGATGCTGTAGCTATTCATTAGGGATGTAACAATATCGAAATCTCTCTGTACGATATTATCACGATATGCATCTCACGGTACGATATTTATTGCGATATTTTGAAAAGGCTGATATATTTGTAGATGGGACATGTTTCTGCTTTTAAAATACCTTGACAAGATTTTGGTGTGAATTATTTCCATCATAATCCCAAGAATTCAAGTAAAAAACATATTTCTTCATGTTGTTTGCACTGAAATGAATCATGGGAAATGTAGTTCACAATGTTTATAAGCTGTTGCTGCTGTAAAACATTTAAGCAAAGGAACAGCTCAAGATATTATTCTGAGACTTTTGACGATACGATATCACGATATTTCGGTTATTGTTACATCCCTACTACCCATTAGTCAGTGCTAGTGCAGCTTCTGCAGCTCAGTGAGTCAATTCTGGAGGTTTTAAGGTTTCACAATAGCTCTGTCCATAAACTGAGGATGAGAAAAAACATATGTAGGTCCTCTAAAGGTGCATTGTGTAACTTTTCTGGTGGTGGTGAGTCTGTAAAATGCTTTTCTTCATGGAGATGTTAGGATTTTTTGTCTGTAAAGTTTCGCAGTATGGCATTAAACCTTTCTGTCTTCATGGAAACTGAACCAGCCCGAGTTACAGGTCAGATCCGTGAAGAGGCGACCCCGCTCACAGTCAGAATGTTGTTTTTCAAGGTATTTTTGCGCTATAAAACCACCTGTAACTGAATAAATGTAAAGTAAGAACAGTAAGAAACCAACCAAAAAGTGACATAGTGCACCTTTAAGGTAATAAAACAGTAATAGTACAGTCTACATGCTCATTAAACAACTATTTAATATTGTAGACACACTTGTTTTACTGAAGTGTGAACATAGCCTTAAAATCACAGTCATTTATCATATTAATAGTTTGTGTGGGATTAATCCAGCTCTGAAAAGTACACACTGCTCCTGCCAACGCTCCCAGTAGCAGCAGAATTAATTACAGACATTAAAAACATTTAGCGGTAAGACTTTATTAACAGCGCAATCTCCGGTCTCCAGGCGCCGTGCTCTTGAAAGCCCATGTCAACGCCAACGTCTAAGTTTTCTGTCATGTTTCTCTTTCCCCCCTTGGACTTTTGTAGAACCGAGCAGGAATGAAAAGACTCAATATCATTATAATAGCCGAGGGTGCGATTGACCAAAACAACAGACCCATAACTACTGATTATGTGAAGGATGTAAGTACAGAGGCGTTGTTGTATGCTCCCATTTTATTTTGAAAAACCAAGCTTGGACCTCCTGTTTACCACCTACCACCGCTGCCCCCTACTGGTGTGGCTGTTGAATCTTGTTGCTGTGTTTCTTGGAATGCACTTGTCAAAACACCCTGAGTAGTTTGTAAGTAAAAAAAAAAACAAAAAACACATTGCTTTCACCACTTCTGCTATACTAAACTCCACAATATATTTTTTTAAGAATATATATATGTAAGATTAAAGAGTTTAAATAAGAATAAAGGGATCACAATCTGCTACTAAAATGCTTGTAATGGCAGAGGTGGTTTTTCTTTGTAGTGGAGTAGTGCTTCAGTGTTGGGGCTAACATGACTGAAAAGTTAGAGAGGCTTGCTAGAGTGCTTTGCTGTTTCCCCTTTATCTCTGCTTTTGTGGGTTTTTGTCTCGTGTTCAATTTCATCTCAGCTCTTTTTATTTATTTATGTACTTTTTTTTTTTTTTTTTACACTGGTCATTTTGTGTTATAGACCCTTTAAAATGCTGTTCTCGTGTGAGTGTTCAAAATTTAGAAATAGAGGCAAAATGGAGGACAATAACACAGATTTTAGGGATTAAATGACATCAGATACACATTTGAACAAAAATAAGCAGCTATTTTGAATTTCCAAATGTTCGATTATCCATCCGTCTCCCTCTCGGATCTCGGATACGACGTCATGTTCCTACTTTAAGCGTTTCATTATGTTGTTATGTGTTCCTGACTTGGAGAAAAACGTGGACGCCGACCGGAAAGCTGTAATTGTTGTTGCTTATCTTCTGTTAGCAGCCCCCAGCACGTTTAGCAACGCCGGTTTAAAACAAGTCTTTGTTCAATTTTGGTCTCACCACAACACCGACCACCATCCCCACAGGCAGTAACATTACGAGCGACTGAAATTGTCATTTAAACCACCGAAGAGTCCAGACACAATGAAAAAAGTTCATATTTGTCTGGATGGGTTTTCTCCGGGCACTTTGGTTTCTCCCATCAACCCCAAAACATGCCACACAGGTCTCCAGGAAGAACAGTTGATAACAAAGGCCGAAATAAAATGTTACAATCAATCAATGAACCTGCCCAGGGACGACAGGTGGAAATGAGCACTGGAGCTACAACCTGGTACAATGCTGTAGGTTATTAAGTTTTTTTTTTCAGACCAAGAGTTTGTTTTCATACCTGACAGTTTCGACTGCTCACTAGCGCTCTTCTTCAGAGTGTTCACGTGACGTCGCTGTCACTGTCAGGTATGAAAACAAACTCTTGGTCTGGAAAAAGAACCTAATAACATAAATTATCGGAAGACCAAATGAACCTCATCGGGCTACAACCTCCTGTTATGGTTAATGTAGATTGTGCACTGTCCTTGTCTCATTAAATAAATAAGTTTTAAAACTGACACTGGGCACAGCCATCTTGGATTCTATTTCAGAATCCTTGCTTGGTGTCCTCCAAGCTCTTCCGAGTTGCGACATCAGAGGAGGGGAGTGTCAGTGCGTGTCGTTAGGCAAAGTCCTTGAACCTCCGAGTCGGACGGATAATCGAACGCACCATTAGTTTGCTTATCATCACAATGGATGGAAACTATGCAATTTCAAAACTCTAAAAAATATATTTGTGGTCAAGTATGTTTGTATATCTGTGAATAAAATTAACTGAGATCAGATAGAAATTTGAACGTTTGAATTTGAGCAAAAAAGCAAAAAAAAAAAAAAAAAAGCCATTTTGAATTCTCCAATGTCACTTAGCTTGCTTATCATTATAATGGAAACAATGCTATTTTAAAACTCAAATTTGTGTTTGAGCTTTACAAAAAATAATGTTTTGGAAAGTATTGAACATATATGGGAATAAGATTAAAAATAACATTATTGTGGGTCAACGTTTCTGGAAGTATTGTCCGTTAAAACAAAAAAGTTGTGGTTTTGGCTTCATCAAAAATGGCAAATATTGTAATCTCCAATTAAATTAAAAACGTAATTATAATAAATGAACGTAAAATACAACTGTAAATGTATTTAAACCATGATATCACTTTTATATCACTTTTATCTTATCTTTTTTTGTAATATTCTCTGGTTAATAATCCACATTTCTCGATTGAAATAACATTCATGTCCCACTTCACTCTTGTCTCCAGTTGCCTCCATGACAGAATTTGAACATCTTAACAAATTTTTAAAGGGTCTGTTGTTTTTCTTTGTATGGGCATGGATGTTTTGCTGCATTTGAACGTAATACAGAAACGTAACATAGATATAGATGTAATGCAGGTGTCTTTGTTTCTCGCCAGCTTGTCGTCAAGAACTTGGGTTTTGACACAAGAGTTACAATCTTAGGTCACGTGCAAAGAGGAGGAACGCCGTCTGCTTTCGACCGAATCCTGGTACGTAGATATTCATTTAAAAATGTATTAATCATTGTTTTTGTTTCATATTGTATGTTTTAGGGTAACATATAGTTTAAGGATGAAAAATTAATAATAACTAAGTGGTTCCAGCAGTTCCAGAACAACATTTCCCATTCATTTTTCTCCTAGGCGGTGTCCGAATTTCCACAATATTCCTGAGTTAGGGCACTATTTAGGGGTCACACAATTTTTAGGGGTGTCTGAATGTCCAGTGAGTGAAAAAGTAGTGCACTGAAAATTTCCCACAATGCACCTTTAAAAGTAGTCGTCATCGGTGGCCATTAGACCGGTCAATATAGATCACAACGCATTACGAGAGTCGAGAAAACAGTGTGTTTAACTGGACACAACACGACTGAATGAAAGCGCTGGTTTATGGCATTATAGATCCGTGATTCTGAATAAAACACTCTGATCTTAGCTCTAGCTGTTAGAAGAGCGATAATTTCCACATCTCGTACAAAAAAGCAAATAATCCAGTTTGTTTACATGAAATTCAGCTTGACAAAAACTCGTATGATTATTATTAGTCCATAAATACTCATGTGCCAGTCTGAGTTCAACATTATTTATTACAGAAATCAAGTTTTTTTCAAAGTTTAGCGGACTTTCTTTCACCTAGTCGCCAAAGTCACATGACCCGAATGAAGTGCGTGTCCGAATCGCTCTGTCAGTGAGTGCACTATATAATGCGCCAAAGAGTGTAGGACTATGTAGTGAATGAGGGGTTAGTGCAGGAGTGGGCAAACTACGGCCCGGAGACCATATGTGGCCCTTTAATCTTTTTAATCTGGCCCACCAAACTTGAATAATAATAATCATTTTCTTTGTTTTAAAAGTCAGACCGTGGGACTTGAAAGACAGATATTTTGTTGTAATGCTTTGTAATGATTTTCGATTATGGGATATTTTTTTTCACTTATGAGGTGGATTACAAAAAAAAACTCCATCCATCTGCTCCTGGTCCGACCCTTTTGTCAAATTTTAGAACCCATCGTGGCCCATGAGTAAAAAAGTTTGCCCACCCCTGGGTTAGTGGCTAAGCTGGACATTCAGACACAGTCATAGACTTTCAGAAAAAAAATGTTTTTACTATAAATTCGAATGCTTGCTCGGAAATAATTAGCTATGTGGTAAGCAATGACCACAAGGCATAGAATTTTATTTAAAAATCTGTTGTGGGCTTTATATGTTTTTTCGAAAAGTCTATGGAAAAAATGAAAATTTACTTCCGGAACCGGAGCGAGCGGTGAACTCCAGAGTTTATAAGGATGAGACAGGATTTTGTGCCACAAGCCACACTGCCACAAAACTGAGCACATGTGGAAAATGACCTCATGAGAGCTTGTGTTTACATTTGGATTAGACAAAAAAAAAGTTAAGTGCTGGTGAGTTATACCTCCTGGAGAGCTGTAGTTACAAACCACAGCACCGTAATGACGACAAAAGTATTAAATAGAAGAAATAAAAAATAGTTAGGCCAAATTTGTGAACTGGTTTGGATCAAAATCTTGCCGTATCTCGTGTCTTGTGGGAATTATATCTCGTCCCACCACTAATAGTTTATGTACCGTACTGTAGCATCCCTTCCAAATACTCCTAATGCAAATACTGCAACTGTAGGACAAGATTTATCTAAAGCTGCATTATGTAACTTTTCTGGTGGAGGGTCGGCCATCTGCCTGTTCCCAGTCGAGAAATTGTCCTGCCTGTGCAACTGTTCCTGCCACCTGTTTGTCTCCATGGAGATCTCACTGACCCGAATGTTCCACCACATGGCATTAAACCAGGTGATACGCCCCCGGGCAAGAAACACGTCAGATCTTTTTAGAGGTGACCCTGTTTATTGTGGAACGTTCGAACTAAGTGACATCTCCATGGAGACAAACAGGTGGCAGGAAAAGTTGCATAGTGCGCCTTTAATGGACAAATACTAAAATATTGCCAGTACTTCATAGTAATAAAGATGTAATTAACAGCTTGCATGTATTCCTTAAATTTGTGCCTTACCTTTTTGAGATACTGTGGTTAAAGGGCCCATGTCTATTATCTGAGCTATGTTACAATGTTTCCTCATCACAAACAGACCTGGAGTTGTGTTTTGTTTCATTCATACATGTTTAACTCACAAACCTGCATATTTAGGCTAAAGGCTGCCACACATTACAGGAGAATTTGCCCAATTTTGGCTGTGATTTGCTTCTCCTTGAGTTTGGGGAGGCGTGACCCAACTTTGTGTCTTCGTGTGCGATTTTGAAGCCGCTGCTCCTCGTGTGTTGTGTCAGTGTGACTCTGAGCTGCTCTGACAGATCATAACCACTAAACATCGGCAACGCTACAGTGACAGGCAATAATACTGAGCGTCAGGGGCAGAGGAGGACACAGAGACGCAAAACACAAACTCAGGAAATAGCGAAAATAATTACTACTCACGTCTCGAAAAGTGGTAAATATAAACAGCAGCATCTCATCCACATTATCCATAGAAATTATCCTCTGCAAATAATGACACCCATTCCACAAAACAGCGCAATTAATCCAGTTTGAAGCGTTCGTTAAAAGTAAAAAGGCCAGAGTAGTTCCTCACCTGTGTTTGTTTACATCCACACAGAGCACGATTAGCGATAGTGTCTCTACTTCCTGTGGACTTTATCTTCAACCTTTTATGCTTTAAAAATCACTTATCTGAAGTATTGAACATTTCATTAATAGTAATAACACAGTTTTGACTTGTATCTAAGCTGCAGTCTTTGCGATCGGAGATTTTAAGTCTCATAAGATTTTTCGCATGTCTGTGGTGTGCGTTTAAAAATAGTTTAAGACCGAAAAACCCTGTCGTGTGTGGCGGCCTTTAGTTCTTCTCCCAGACAGAAAACACTCTGTTCCACCTTGTGATGTAATGTAATAATAAAAGAAGTGCTCCGAAATGTTTTTAAATACACCTTCACTAGAATAATTTGGATAATTTCAGCTCTGGAATTGCCAGTCTCTACTAAGCAAAAGGTTAAAGGTAGCTGTTAACTTGAAAACTACCGTGTTATGAGGTGAAACAGAGCATTTTGAGCATTTGGAGATGTAGACAGACTAATAATAAATGATTACTCAAATGTGGGAATGAAACAAAACACAACTCCAGGTCTGTTTTTGATGAGGTAACAACATTATAACATGGTTTAAATCTCACAAGAGTCAATTTTGCACAATATCGGACCTTTAAGTTATGCATGGATCAGTGTATTTGGTAGAATCTGGCACAATCTACCGCTGACCCCAGTAACCTTTTGCCCTTTCAGCGACAAAGTGCTGTTCTCAAATACCAAGCCTCCATTTGTGCACAAAACACTGCGATTAGAGAGATCCACTGTGTAAGGTGGTTATGTAACAGAGTTTGTGGATTTATTTCTAAAGCATCACGAAATCACGAAATCTGCCGTGTTGGATCGTGTTCTTTTATATTACACGCACATAATTCAGACGTTCGTATACGGCGAGGTGAAATATGGGAGTTCTGGAGCCCGAGGCAAAACACAGAGAAGAAAGTCGTTGCCTGAAGCCATATTTCCTTTTATACACTGAGTACATCACTGCCCTGTTCAAAGAAGTGAAGTTGGACGTTAAAATCACTCTACAGCAATGTACATAATTTACAATGTATTAAAGCCTCAGTGGATCAGAGTTTAAAGGTGCATTGCGTAACTTTTCTGGTGGAGGGTTCGTCAAATTTCCTTCATGGAGATTATTTATTTATTATTTATTAGTTATTGCTTTGTCTGGAATGTTTCACCGTGTGGGATTAAACCTTTCTATCTTTATGAAGCCCAAATCAGACCAAGTTACAGGTTAGATCTGTTTTTCTGTGTATTTTTGAGAAATAAAACCACTTGCAATTGAATAAATGTGAGGTAGAGCTGTTTAATGTCACACTGTGGAACATTCAAGACAAAGCAATAACATCTCCATGAAGAAAATCTGACGGACTCTCCACCAGAAAAGTTACACAATGCACATTTTAACTGTCATTTATCTTTACCACTGACACTTTTAGTTACATAGTGAACCTGTAAAGTTTTAATGCTTCAATAATAACCAAAATGTACCATTATTTTTGTCAGTTTGGATATCAGTTTAATCAATATTTGAGAATATGCAACAATTTTACATGTTGATCGTTGTTAAAAAAAAGTTGATACTGAAATATCGATCAATAAAACTAGTAAATTCACACAAGGACATTTGAACTGCCAAGAATAGTTTTAGAGTGATCAATATCAGAGCTAGTTTATGCCCAAATGATAACAATAAAGCAGCTGTACGTGATTTTTACTGTCTTCAAAACGTGAAAAACAGAACTAGTTTGTTTTTCATGGATTGCAATGGTTCAAAGTTATTCCTCACTTACTTTATCCATTCAGAGCATCCTAATTATTCACTGAGATGAGTTTTGAGTGCTTTTCACAACTCTCAGAGACCAAAGTGGAGTTTTGCCATCACTAACAACAACTAGCATGCAAACAGCACGCTTCCTGATTTCTAATTATATGCAGACAGCACTCAGCAGACCTCAAAAGCTGCTTATCCAATATATGTGCACTAGGACAAGACAAAGTCTGCTGATACATGACCAAACAATCTGTTCCAGGGCCTTTTAAAAGCCTGTATTGATCTTTTTGCAGTATTGATGTTGTTCGTCTGTTGTTGTTTCAGGCCAGTCGAATGGGGGTGGAGGCGGTTCTTGCTCTGCTGGAGACCACAGCCAACACTCCGGCCTGTGTGGTGTCTCTGTCGGGGAACCAGTCTGTGCGCCTGCCTCTCATGGAGTGTGTGCAGATGGTACGGCTCAAACGCTAAACTCTAAACTAGGGATGTTCAAACTTTTTCACAGAGGGGTTGCATACTGACACATATTTTAAACGGAGGGCGACAAACGGTGGTCACTACATCGAGTCTTTCAGAACGGTGTATTTAACATAGTTTTGAGAGAGCTACTGTATCTTTAATACGGCTTAAAACACAAATTTATACTTAGACTTAGACAAAATTTAGTGACCCACAAGGACACACACACCGTACTAAGACATACAAAGACTAAAACATATGAATGGTAATAATAAAATGAAAATAAGTAGCAAAAAAAAAGTAGAAAGAAACAAGAAATTTGAGCTCTGTATCATAATGCAACAAGAGGTTATTGAGGTCATAGACGTTAAACTACTTAAATTTACTGTAAAAATTACTGCTTATTATCATTTGGAACATCTCAGCATGAAGCTTGAGGACCAACAAAATTTAGTTTGAGGGCCGCATTTGGTCCCCAGGCCATAGTTTGGACACCCCTGCACTAAACTATCAAAAGACTTGCATTGTATTATTAGACTCTATTATTTTTTTTTATTATTATTTTTTAAACAGAAATTTCCCACATCTATCATTAAATTATTAAAGTTAGTTAGTTTATTTATTTAATGAGACAGGGACAGTGCACAATATACATTAAATTTAACAGGAGAGATGAATTGTACCAGGTTGTAGCTAATTTCCACCTGAAGTCTCTGGGTAGAACATCTCTATGTCGACATTATTCTTTTGCGTATTTAGTCACTAACAACAATTATTTTTAATTTTCTGCATTGTAAATTGAAACTGCAATATTAATCTAAAATGGCTTAATAATAGAAATGCACCCATTGACTTCCTATTCAAAACTTACATTTCATAAATGTTGATTTTATGTAATATGTCCACTTCAAAAAATAAATAAAAATTCTTAGTGCCGTGAAATAAGCTTAGAAACTAAAGCAACTACAAGAACCATAATCCTTTGCACCGTTTCAGTTTAACCAACGATTACTGCTATTTAAAGCTGCACTGTGCAACTTTTCTGGAGATGGTCTGCAACCTATTTGTCTCCATGGAGATGTTAATGCTTTGGTTTAAATTGTCCACAGTATGGCATTAAACTCATCTGTCTTAGTGTTTTTTTTTATTGCTGAAAAATACATTAAAAAACATAAACTCTAAACTGTAATTTGTCTTGCAAGTGTCCATGGAGATTCTTATGTTTACTGTCATACTGTGGAACATTCTAGATGACAGATACAGTTATTTACATCACTTTTAACACCTTTTAGTCTTATATTTCTTATTTTCTATTTAACTATGACAATGCGCTGGAGGTGATTTAGAGAAAATGTCAACATAGATCGATCTATTATACTATTCTGTGAGATATTTTTAGCATCCACAGTATTTACAAATCAAAGAATGATCCGGTATTTAAACAGTAGTGGATTCAGAGTAAATCATAAGCTAGAATACTGTTGACCTTCCTCACAGACCGTTGCGCGTGGAGTGGTTCTAATGTCCACGAGAGCTTTTTTTACTCAGACGAGAGTTAATGATTATTTAAATGTTTGGCATCGGTGGCTCTTGGCTGCACTCTGAGGTAATGTTAACTCATCAGAACAAGGCCGTGGTAGCAATTCTGGCTTTAATTGTATTTATTTATTAGGTCCAAAAGGTTATCGCATAATTTAGAAGTGAATATATAACTTCAAGTCCCAATTAACTCAAGGTCCAAAATTGTTGAGAGCTTTAAACCACGTTAGAATGTTGTTATGTCATCAAAAGCCGACCTCGAGTTGTGTTTTGTTTCATTCATGTTTGAGTAATCCTTTTTTATTAGTCTGTCTACGTCTCCAAAGCCCAAAATGCTCTGCTCGACCTTGTGATGTCAAGTTAACAGCTCCTTTTACCTTCTGTTCGGTAGAGATTGACATTTCCTGAGCTGAAATTATCCAAATGATTCTACTGAAGGTGTGTGGAGTTTAAAAACACAGTGGAGCCCTTACTGTATTACCACAGACGTCACAAGGTCGAACAAAGTGTTTTTAGTTTAAGAGAAGCCTAAATATGCAGAGTTTGTGTGTTTAAATATGTGTGAATGAAACAAAACACAACTCCAGGTCTGTTTGTGATGAGGAAACAACATTATTTTTTTGTATTTATTCAATATTTTATCAGGTAAGTCAATTAAAAACACCTTCTCATAAACAGAACACACTCACACATATTTTATAAACAAAGGATCTCCCTGAACAAAAACAATGTGGTGTACCCGCCCCCAAAAAATTTACACAATGCACCTTTAACTGGTCGTACTATCAGGCAGGAGGGTCATTCCAGTGAACAAAAAAATAAATAAAAAATCCAAATGAATCAGTTTTTCAGATATTCACTGGGTCAGAAAATGTCCAAAATGGAAACACAGTTTTAGCCATACACCATTGTACAACTATAATATAAAACAGTGAATAGAGCAGGGGTGTCAAACTCATTTTGGTCCGGGGGCCGTATCCAACCTACTTTCATCCTAAAGGGGCCGGATCAGAAAACTCATGGCATATATACCCCAAAAATAACAATAAGTTCAAATATCTATCATATCTATAATCTATTACAGAAATCTTTTTTAATTGATGAACTCTTTCTTTTACAAAATATTATAATATTATGAGAAAAAAATGCAATTTCAACACAATGTTTTAACATGAACTTGTATGCAAATAGGAATATGTCAATTTTTCTTGGAAAATCCTGCACTTGGCTCCACTTTTCTATTTTGGACATTTTGTTGATGAGGGTGTCACGTTCAACAGTCAAAACGATCGTCCTTTAAGAGCGTTTGGAAAGAGACAAGTCTTCATTTGTGCTGCTCTGGTGGGAGGGGCCACGTACAGAGGCACTGGAGACGCTATTCTGCTAAGCGGAACAGAAAATTACCAATATTTTAATAGAAAATATGATTAAAATATTTTACTCGAAAATCAGCCGAGGGCCAGATTAAAGGTCTTATGTTTGACACCTGTGGAATAGAGACAGAAACATTTGCAGATTAAAGGTATAAAAGTGTTAAAAGCATGTGCAGTGACCCTGTAAAATACTCTGGATGGAGTTTTTAAAAGTTGACAGAGGTAAAAACTAATTAAGTTTTAAAGTATGTTAAAATAAGATAAGATAAGTCTTTGTCTTGGGACAGGGGATCACATGCTTTATCACAAAGACAGGACAACACAACAACAAAAAGCACCAAACAAACACCACCATAGAACATAAATAAGAGAATGACCACGAGTGATGCACCAACAGGACCTTCAAGTCACTCTTTACAGACAAGCCCTTTGTGTTGAAGGTGTTTCCAGTCACTTGGTGCAGAGAACTGAAATGAGGAGCGGCCCAAAGCTGTGCAGGCTTTAGGATTATAACATAAATCAGAAAACAGCGTAAAATGCACTCTTTAAACACACATTTTCATTACATATTGCCTTGTTACTGCAGCTAACATAGTTATTTTTCCTGTTGCAACTAATCAGTAGTTTGTGGTAGAAGTGGCAAACCGGTATGTAGTATTAATATTCATCAATTTACTTTGGGATAAATAAAATATTATCTGTCTACTGTATCTATTTATCTATCTATCTAGTTATAATGTTATTTTTTTACTTGTTTTTTGTCAGACTCAAGCTGTGCAAAAGGCGATGGACGAGAAACGCTTTGAGGACGCGGTGAAGCTTCGAGGCAGGTGAGACGAACGACTGATCCTGGTTCCTTTTTTGTATTTAGTATCTTTAAAATGTCAAATGCTTTTCTTCATGAAGATGTTATTGCTTTGTCTGGAGTGTTTCACAGTATGGCATTAAACCTTTTTTATCTTCATGGAGACCAAACCAGACCAAGTTACAAGTCAGATCTGAGGAGAGACGACTCCGCTCGCAGTCAGAATCCCTGTTTTTCTAAGTATTTTTGAGCAATAAAACCACCTGTAATTTAATAAATGTAAGGTGGAGCTGTCCAATGTCATACTGTGGAAGATTTCAAGAAGAGCAATAACAAACACATATAATAGAAACAAGTAGGTGAAGGACCCCAAGCAAAAAGTTACATCGTGCCCCTTTAAGTTTAACATAACTGAATATTATTTGAGATTTGAGAACACAATACCAACCTCTGTTAGTGTTTCAGAAAGAGCTACACTACATCCTTAGGCTCCATTTGGGCCATTGGGTTCAGTCGGTCTAACAATGCGATAATGTGCTGTAAGAAAATAAGCCTGATATTACTGGGAAGTTGGATCTGGATCAAATAATGCTGAGCTTGCAACAACGAAAACATATCACGTGGATTTATTGAACCCCTGGGAACTTCCTCTCGTTGAAATGCAACGCTGTTATACTTAATCGTCCAATACGTCTGGGTTTCAGTTGACGTGACAGCAGTCGATAAGTCAGATCTGGGCCAAATACAGCTCTTTGTTTGACTCTGACCGGCCTCTTTAAGCTCATTTGGAATTACAAAATAAACACTTTTTATAATTTTACCTCCTGCATGTACTAAAGCTGCATTGCTTTTATTTTAGAGGCGTATTTTATGACATTTTTTGTAAGGCAACCTCACTTTTTCATTGCTTAGTCATAACATAAACTCTTACCAGTCTTACCAGCTCGTCAAAACAATGACATTTACAGCTTTTTATAAAGAAATACAATTATTACAATATTATACAGAATTGAGTTAAGCATTTTGGCTCGGCTGTCCACAATATTTTCTGGTATAAATAATTGCCCACCCCTGCTGTAGGCCAGTAATATTTAATACAGATGGGGGCAGTTAAAATGAACATTGTTAAAAGGCACATTTTTATTGTATTGATACTTTGCAGTGACAACATGCTGGAGGAGTTCTGCACCTCTACTGGCAGAATGTTCAGCAGTTACCATGGTGACACAAAAAAGTGCTAAAATAGTCTGAAAACTCAAGGGAAAATACAAAATGGATTTAAACAACACACATTTTCAGGAGCCTGTGATCAATACGAGCGTCCTGTTTAGATTTTTAGCAGAAATAAATATATGTAGGAGTGTAACGACATCCAAGTCTCACGACACGATATCGTCACGGTATGAACCTCATTTATTGTGATATCGTGGGAAAGCTCACGATATGGTGGGGAGGCTCATGATCAGGGATGTAACAATATCCAAATCTCTTGGTACGATATTTTCACGATATACATCTCACGGTACGATATTTGTTGCAATATTTTGTTAATATGCCACTTTTTCCTCTTAAAATGCCTTAAAATGCCAAGACTTAATCCAAAGAACTAAGACTTAAAAGTGCTTCGAACTGTTTTTTCTTCTTGTAGTCTGCACTGAAATGGAGCAAAGGACCATGGTCTATGTAGTTCCCTCTGTCTTTTTGCTGCACCATAACTCTTCATTTAAGCAAAGAGACTTTTAATTCAATATATTGTGATGGTTCCCGATATTATTGTGAGAACTTTGACAATACGATACAACGATATTTCATTTTTTGTTACATCCCTATCAACTAATTCATTGTATTTCCAGTGAAATCAGTTTTTCTTGAGTTTTCAGACTTTTTTGACAGGGCAAATGTTTGCAGTGTGTCTCTATGGTAACTGCTGAACATTCCACCATAGAGATACATGTAGAACAACGCCAACATGATGTCAACGCAAAGGATCAATAGCACCAAGTTCTAGGGTCTGGCCACTGTGAGGAATAATCACGTTCTGCATTTGTGAATTTCCGTTTGTGACATTTGTTGGTACAAATAGCAACAATAATAATGTTCTTTAAAACCGTGTGTTTTCAGGAGTTTTGAGAACAACTTGAGGACGTACAAACTGCTGGCTCATCGCAAACCCGAGTCGGAGCTGCCGGTGGTGAGTGTGACCTTACCTGTCCCTCTGCCTCCTCCTGTAACACTAAACAAAAACAAACAACTTTAAAACCTGTTTGAACTCGCAACAAGTCCTCCCCCTGACTCCCTCGCGCTCTGTGCATGTGGGCGTTAACTCCAAAAATACAACAATGCTCTAGTTTGAAGGCAAAAGTAGGACAAAAGTACAATAGATAAAGTACAATAAGTAGATAATATTGCAAAAATTACAATACAAATAATATTAAAACTGCAGATAAATACATTTTGTTATTATTTTTAGGAAGGTTAATTCATGTTTTTTTACTTAAACTTAAACAATATACTGGATTTAAAAGCTAAAAGTTGGTATGCTCTAATTTTAAGGCGCTGTACCTGATTTTTATGGTCTTAAAAACACAGGAAAAACAGAATAAATGTATTTTAAACCGTTAAAAAGTTATTCCTCACTTACATTATTCATTCAGAGCATCCTAATTATTCTCGATGATGAGTTTATAATAAGTGCTTTTCACAACTTTAAGAGTCCAGAGTAAAGTTTTTTCCATCATTGTAAAGCAAACAATGACTGGCATGCTAACAGTGCACTTCCTGCTTCACACTTAGGTGCAGATAGTACTTATTTTGACCTCAAGAACTGCTTAGACATTATCGCTGTACTGGGGTGAAACATATTTTTTCTCAAATTCATTGGGGAAAATTGTGCAAAATGCGTTGAATTATTTAGTGTTTCGTTTTTTGTTTTTTTTTAAATCTGCCTGCTCACGATGACTCAGCCTCTGCAGCCCGGGAGACAGACTGAGGAGATCTTAAAATAAACCGCTGCCAGTTGCTGTAAAATTGAGGATTAAATCGATCAAAGGTCCTATATTACATGAAATGGATCCTCGTGAGCTTTTAGTCTTTATAATTTAATAAGTATAATGTTGTTACCTCATCAAAAGCCTACCTGGAGTTGTGTTTTGTTTTATTCACTCATGTTTGAGTAATTCTTATTTATTAGTCTGTGCACAGCTCCCCCTTGTGATGTCATGAAGCGGTAGTTTTCAAGTTAACATTATTAACATTATTAGAAAACAACATTATGACACAGATCAGAAAATAGAGTAATATGGGCCCTTTAATAGCCTTTTCATAATAACGATCAGCACTTTGTAATAGCCTAACTCTTCTGTCGTTCTACCTTCTATCATCCTATCATTTAAATTGTTGAATTGTCGAATGCACATTGTACTTTCTTGTTCTCTGTTGACTCATTAATTATTGGCAGTAGCAGCACTTCAGTTACATATGTTAATACTAAATTTAAAGATGCATTGCACAACTTTTCTAGTGGAGAGTCCATCACCTGCTTGTCTCCATGGAGATGTTATTGCTTCGCCTGGAATGTTCCATGGCGTGACATTAAACACATCTATCTAGCATTTATTCATCACGGGCTGGGTATCATTAAGAAGTTGCTGACACGATACATATCTCGATACAGTGCATTTTTGATTCGATACGATTTATTTCAAATCGATTTGATACGGTTCAATATAAAATAAATGCTATATCATGACTGTGACACTAAAAGTCTTTGTTATACCACTTCTTCTGCAAAGTTCATATGAAACACAAACATTTTAATGGTCAAAACGGTGAAAATGTGTCGCATAAAAGAGTTTCCTTCCACTAAACAAACAACAAAACTGTAGCACTGTAACAAAATAATTTAGTAAAATATACCAAAAAATACTCTTGGTGATATATTGATACAGCAGCTCACGATATTGATACTGTATCATTTTTTATTTTTTTAAATTTTTTTATGCATTTATTTTGGGCAAGTAAAGATTTACATTTATATACAATGGAACATATGACATAAGTGAAATCATAATAGAAATGAAAATAACAACAACTACTAATAACTATTATTATTACTATTTTGCCCAAAAAGGAGTGGGAAGAAGAAACTTATTTAATCCCACCCCTACTCTTCATAATCTAACACAATGATCTTATTTTGCGTTTTTCAGACATTTTGAATTAAACTATATAAACTATTTACAAGTGCAGACAAGAGTCACTGTTATAGCTTGGTAGTATAACATAAGTGCACCAACAATGGTAAAGTTAAGGAAACAGACAATGGTAAGAAACAACAAATACAAGTAATGTAATGGCAGCACATACCAGCAATGGTAAGAACGTTACGTTAACGATACAATAGATCAATATATTGATATTTTTACACACCTCTAGTGCTTCTTTTGCTCCAAAATACAATAATTCTCTCTGTGAATATGGTTGCCTCTCCACAGATATGACCTGTAATGTAGCCTTTAGTTGTCTCCCTTGACATCATGGAACATTCTAGACAAAGCAATAACATCTCCACGAAGTCAAGCAGCCAGTGACGGACCCACCCATCCACCAGAAAAGCTCCGCAATACACCTTTATTGTAGGTCATATGCAATTTTCTACAGTCTCATTAAGACACTGGGTGCACTGGTGTTGAGAAAGTCTAACAGAGAGATTAGTGCGTTTCTGTGATGCCCTCAGTGACCGTTTTGTTGCCATTTTTCTTTGGTTATAATATTCCTGGGGAAGTTAACAGTCACTAAATGAACAGTTTGTTGTGTAGCTCCATGAGTTGAGTCACTGCGAGTCTCTTTCACAGTTTGGCCTGGACTGGAGCTCTGCCTGGAGAAGTGTTGAAAAACCCTTGCTCTTTTCATCACTATAATGCTGCTTTCATTTTGGGCACACAGTACTCATGACAGGCCTGGAGATGTGTGATACAGCAACACTTACCGGTAGATAATATTACAAAATAATCTTTAAATAAACTACAAAAAGCCCATATTACCTAACCCATTTTAGAGCTACTGTATTATACTGGAATTATTATTTGCTAGAGAGTGATATCGGCCAATATAAAAAATTTAATCCTAGATAAATGTATTTTGTTATTATTTTGACAAATGGGAAACATTAATTTGTGATCTTTACTTCATCTTAAAGGTGCACTGTGTAACTTTTCTAGGGAATCAATCCATCACCTGCTTGTTTCCATGGAGATTTTACTGTTTGTTTTTTTTGTTAATAAACTTCGTAATAGCGATGGAGACAGCTTAATGGTCAGATCTATGGACAAGCAAGGCTACGCATGGTAAGAATTCATGTTTTTAAGGTATTTTTAAGCTATAAATTCAGTTGTAAGTGAGGAAATGTGAAGCAGATATGTGTAATGCCCTACTGTGGAACATTCCAAGCAAAGAAATAACATCTCCATGGAGAAGTTACACAGTGCACTTTTAAGATTTGTGGACCTTGAGATAAAATGCTGTACAAAATCTATCAAAATCACTACAATATCCCTAATTGCAACATTATTTCTATGCATTTACTGTTTGTTTTTTTTGAGACAGATGCAAAAAAAAAAAAAAAAAAAAAGCAAAAAACAACAAAAACTAAACAGAAAAAAAAATAATAGTCATGCAGTATGGAAGTGACACCGTATGTAACATGTAGTATTTCACCTGTGTGACTGTACACTGTAATGAAATACACGCTTTACGATAATCAATGATGAACCTATTTAAATTGATCTGAGATGCTAATTCTTCGTCCCCTGTGCATTTCTAGCCTTTTATGATTCTAATAAGCGTCTGTAGATTGCTCATAGGAACAGATGCAATTACCCACCCCTCCAAAACGCCGTAATGTGATTTCTGCTGTAAAATGAAGTGAGGCTTGTCTCCGAGGTCTGGTTTTGTCTCTGGTGATTGGCTGTGACAGTTCAGTTGGAGCAGGCGTTGTTTTGTTTCACATCACGCGGGGACGACGTGTTCTGCCTTGGGCCCTGTCAGCTCAGTCTGTATAAGAATTAGTGAATTTGACATCTAGAGTTTTTTTTTTTTTTCTTGTTGTTGTTTTTAATACTTGAATTTTTGTGTAATTTGATCTAATTAGTTTCCACAGGACAAAGGGTGCCACAGTGATGCATACAATAAAGACATATTCCTCTTTTTACCACTTTAAGTGTAAGTAGTGGAGTGCAAAAATATTGAAATATCGATATATCGTATAATTAAATGTGATAATACAATAAAGTATAAAATATAGAAAACATTCTTTTTTTTTTATTCTTTTTTTTCTTTTTTAGTGTTGTATGAACAGACAAATACAATACAACCTGCGGGTGTGCCTTGATGTCCACAAAGGATGTATTAATTAAAAGAAAAAAAATATATATATATAATAATAATGAACAATAGTTTTTACAGCCACTTACAAGAAAAACAAAGTAATGGGTCAAACAAAGTCCGATTTCACAGTATTTATATAATCAATCCACCGTTTCCATTTGCTTTCAAATTTAAAATATAGAAACAATTCTATAAAAAAATAAAAAAAAGTGCATTAATTCGGAATTATGTTTTTAACTGTTCAACTGTAACTATACTTATTAGGGCTGAGTATCATTAAGAAGTTGCTGATACGATATATATCTCGATTCAGTGAGCTTTCGATTCGATACGATATTTCAAATTGATTTGATAAGCTTCAATAAAAATAAAGGTAAATCGTGACTGTGATACTAAAAGTCTTTGTTAAACCACTTCTTGTGCAAAGTTCACATGAAACACAAACATTTTAATCCTCAAAACTGTGAAAATATCAAATGTGTCACATGCACCGCAAAAAAATAAAACCTATCCAAGTTAAGATGACTTGAATTAAGAAGGTTTTATGATGATTTGAGTAACTTTCACTTGACAAATTATCTATCAGCGGAGTAAGATTTTTTGTACTTAAAATATGAAATGATATCATATCGTCAAAAGTCTCACAATAATATCGTGTATCGCTATCATAATATATCGAATTACAAGTTTCTTTGCTTAAATGCATGGGAACTACATATCCCATGATTCATTTCAGCGCAAACATGAAGATATATGTTTTTTACGTGAATTCTTGGGGTTATGAGGGAAATAATTCACACCAAAATC